ATGTAAATAATATTCTGGCACAAGTAGGGGCATGGGGGATATGAAGTAAAAATGTGGGGTTTATCGAAGGCTCGGATTATAAGCCGCATTTGAGTATTTAGTTTCGTATTTGATTGATATTACCATACTGAGAGCATGATTTCACTACAGTCATGGTCATCCAGCGAATTCCTTATTGCAAGCTAGAGCCCTTTTTGCATGGTTGCTTATTGTAAGCCAGCTTAATCTCGGTCTCTTCTACTGACCTTGACCTTGTACAAAACACAATGCCAAATTCAAAGTTTATTTACTGCAACAACGTTTAACAAATGCACATAACAATTCATAAAATGAGATAACATGCATCTGTGGATAATTTCATGAAAGAATTCACTATAAATGCCCAAAACCGAAACGTCAGAGAACCATGAAACAATGCAGGGGTCAGCTGAAGTCAATATCGGGTATGTCCACCCTGAAGTCACCTTGGCATGGACTGGCACAGATGTCTCACTACACGTTGTGGGATTATTTGCCAATGATTTTGGAGTGCCTGTGCAACTCTGCAACAGTTCATGGGGGCACGGCTTGAGTTCGAACCCGTCGTCCAAGTTCATCCCAAAGGTGTTCGATCGGGTTCATGTCGGGAGACATAGCGGATCAATCCATCACACGGACGTGATGATTGTTCAGAAAGTCTCTTGTCAACCTGGCAGTGTGGGGTCAGGCGTTGTCATGCTGGAAAAGCATCTGTCGACGGACGCGATGTTGAGCCAGCAATGGAAGCAACACCGGACGAAGGATGGTGTCAACATAATGTTGACCGTTGAGATTGCCTTGGACCACCAATAACTGGGACCGGAAGTCGACGTTGATGTCGACGTCGGTAGATACGGTGACGTCCATCCGGAAAACTGAGGTTGAATCTGGATTCATCTGAGAAGGTGACATTTGGTCATGGTGTGTTGTGCAGATACCCCTGATTTGCGATCCATTGCTGTTTGGCAAGTCGATGACGATGCAAAAGGATTTGATCTTGGTAAGGTCGATGGCAGCTTAACCCAAGAGCAGCCTGTTTAAGGGCTGATCTGACGTTGCCGTGTTCCAACAGTTCCCCTGGCATGGAAGCGTTGTCTGAGGCGAGCAATGGTCGATGGGTGGACATTAACCTTTAACCGGTCATTGTCGACAATAATCACTATGTTATACAGCTAAGTGGTCACGGTCGACTAAAGTCGACCACAGCAAGAACCTTTTTTATAAGCCGCATTTGAGTATTTAGTTTCGTATTTGATTAATATTACCACGCATGCATGTCAGACAGGAACTGTCTAGTCAAGGGCATTGAGAAAAAACATGTCTTTGTTCAACATTTTTTGACAAAAAACATAATTTAACGATGTTGGGAAGGTTAAAGACTCTCAAAGTGGTTGAAATGCTTATGAATGATTCCGACTCGGATTATATCGATGACACTGATAAAAATGATTTAGAATGATTTGCAAATTATAGATCAACTTATCCCCTTCAACTTTTTTATTGGTGTCAAGCGTCTTTCACTTATAATTATCCGGCAGTAGTCAATTGAAATAGGCATACAAAATATTTCACGTTCGCCTTTATTTAGCCTGACCACTTAACGTCATAACGTTAAAATGACGTCGACCGGTTAAGGGTTAAAGTGTCTGGCGATGGCTACCTATGTAGCCCCCCGATCCAGCATGCCTATAGCTCTGTTCCTGTTTTCTTGTGTAAGGCGTGGCGTTTTTCCGAAGTGATGAATGTTGAAATTTTGATCTGTATTTAAAGGGCCAGAGTGCAGGGAATGCACGTGCAAAACGTGTGACATGGGACTGCTTAAAATCGTGAAAAAAGACAAGTGTTGCGTTTGCACGAACAAAGTTCATTACCGAGAACTCCACAAAAAGAGATCCATCACAAGTTTCACCTATGTGCCATACGATAGGAAAGCCCAAGAAAACCTTTACCAGAATATTTCACGAATTAAGCATTGCGTTTTTAATGGCTCTGAGTGTAGATTGATAAGACTTTTTTCTGTATGAAAATGAGTTTCTTCGTAGCTTCCATATAATGTGCCAAGTTTTATTATGCATTTATTTATAATGCAGAATGGAGAAGTGTGATGTGCAAAATAACTATTATACTGTATTTTGTATTACTGAAAAGTGTATTCTATATTTTTTTTTTAACACTTTGACATTGGTATTGTGGAACAATGTAAATTGTAAAATTAAAATACATATTTTGAACTGCTGCGTGCAGTTTGCACAGTGAACATTAAAATAATATTAGCAACGTTATTCTTCCGTAAATATTGACTGAATGAAGAGTGGTTTCAGACAGAGTTATCTTCCCCTGAATTCGATAGTCTGGCTTATAAATATAAATATGAACATAATAGGTTTTAGGGTTAATAATTAGCCTCCACTTACTATTTTTTGAAAGTGATTTTCCATTTTACATGTTAGTAATAAGTATGATACCTAGATTCTTGTTCTTAATGCCTATAAACACTAAGTTATTGTTTTCTTTGTTTCAATTGGGAGGCAATCATCTGTAAACCGATAACCTTGCGATAAATGTGTAAATTGCCAGGCAGAACTAGTAAAACAAATTAGGGTTCATATGTCAATCTATGAGAAAACAATATACATAATTTCTCCAAATATTGTTTTAGTCAACAAGTTTGAATTTTTAGATATGTCTTATTTATATTGGAATAGAATGATTTTCATGGTTTAGTTAGGTGTTGCTATATTTATGTTAATGAAATAAATTAAGCATTGTGCATATATTATGATTTTAATTTAAAATAACAAACACTGCTATAAATTTGTTATTTTTGTCATCCAAGTGTATTAATTTCAAAGCTGGTAATAAATTGGGCGATTGCATTGATTTTAAAAAGAAACTTATTATGATTCTGAAATTTTCCCAACACGAAATCCCCTAGCAAGTAGGAACACATTGACAAGAATGTGTAGACTATATAAAAGTATTTATTCCAGGGTGCGTTCCAGGATCACAGGGTAAAAGCCTTTTTATACGCCCACATTGAAATGTGGTAATATATTGTTGTCGACCCCCGTCCGTCGGTCCGGCATCCACATGCAATTTAAAGTTAATTTCCGATTGACTTTAAATTTATAAACTGTGTTTAAGGTCATGAGACGAAGAATCCTATTGAATTTCAACGATTTCCGATAATTACTGCCAAAGTTATGGCCCTTGATCACTTTGAAAAATCTTGTACGCTCTAGTCTAAAGTTATCATCCAATTGACCTCAGATTGATATACAGTATTTAAGGTCATGAGACGAAGAATCCTATTGATTTTCAACGATAATTACTGCCAGAGTTATGGTCCTTGATCACTTTGAAAAATCTTGTGGATGCTCTAGAGACCAAAGTTATCATCCGATTGATTTTAGATTGGTAAACAGAGTTAAGGTCTTGAGACGAACAAGTATATTGATTTTCAATGAATTTTGATAACTCGAACAGCTAAATTCATAATCCTTATAAGACATATAGAAATAGATTTCACTAAAAATAAACACACTTATATGGATATACTACTTCTGAATTTTATTAATAATGCTACGTTTCAATACAGTTGTTCTCAGTGTTTAATGTCCACTTCCACCGAATGTGATATCGCAGACAAGTCTTATTTTTCATTTTCATTATATTAGCGCACGCGCAGGGGTCTTTCCTGTCAGAGGAAACCGGAGTACCCGAAGTAAAACCCACGAGGTTGAAAAGGTGCACCTATCTCCAAGCCACATATGCTCACAACAGGGATCGAAACCACAGTCGCAAGTCAGAGGTGACAGGCCAGCTAGAGATCAAAGCGCGGCACTCTATACCACTTGGCCATCCCAGCCCCAGGGTTCGAACTAGTTTGCGATGCGGGCGAAATAGTTGCCCAACCACTGCTGATTTCGCCCTCCAAAAGTGTCGCCCTATATTTATTGAAGGGCGAAGTTATTCTAGATCTGGAGACAGATTTACCGTACATAAACAAACACGTGGGACTCAGTGTGAGGCTCAAAGGGAAATGTGAAAATTAGACATGTGAATAAGACTGGAAGACGTATTTCTACATTTTTATATGAGAAACTAGGCAAAGCTATTTTAACTGTTATGTACTTCTCCCTAAAAATTGATCCTAGTTGAAGTCGACCTCGTGTCGCCCTATTTTTATTGAAGGGCAAAGTTATTCTGGAGACAAAGAGCTAAATCTGATTATTGCAAGTCTTTATTTAGGCTTCAGATGTCATACTCCCGGATCGAGGCTAAATGATAGTGTACGAAATGAGGCCGCTGTTGAGCGATGCCTTAACAAATGATATCTAAACTATTTAAAGTGCAATAAACTAAACACAGATAATGACAAATTATACAATTCCTGGAGACCGTGTGATGACTAATACAGACGGATAGGTCTTCTGTCTTAATAATCTCAATTAAAATATTTTTATTTCCCCAATGGCAATAGGCACGACGCCACTGGTGTAGGCCCTATCAGATTTATCATAATTGTATTATAATATTATGTCCTATATTCAGTTGATTTAATGCATGCCCAAAATACAAGTAAGAATGAAAATTTACCCTCTCACTCATTTTGTCCAATTGTTAAAAAAATCCAAAAAGGTAAAACACAAATTCGGATATGATGACAGCAGACAAAAGACAGCAGAGATTATGTAGGTGGAGTTAACGCCTGTCAATCAAACGATCGGCCATACTAAGAATCGGTGAAGATGGAATTCAATCCCATTTCTAGTCAAAAATTACACTGGTGATAACTATGTTCAGAATAAAGTAATTTGACTGAAATTTTCAATATATTCTTCTTTCATCATCTATTTTTGAACTGTTATAGCAAGAATGGCTAACTCCTTATAAAAATCTCCCATAATGTATCTTTAACTCTTATGTTAAAGATAATTCAAATCCATTTAAAAACAATAATAATTCAAAATATAGTCAAGGAATCTAATTATTTTGTCTCGATTAGAACCTCTATCTAACTCCAAAAATTGTAGCCAATCAGCAACGACCCCATTAAACATGGCGGTGGATACAATATTTTTTTGTGGTATTGAGATCTATCAACGAAGACAGGCTTGTTTTTGTTCTTATATACAAAGAAACTTTATATAAAATGAATACAATTCATAAAAATTTGCATACAATGCCATAATTTGTGCTTGAAAGCCTAATAATATTGATATACTAAACACCATACATGAATATTATATGAATCTGTATACCTCCCAAAACATAAACCCATACACAATAGATACATAAAATTAAAGAATCCCCGCTCAACAGAATACACAACAGACTTGTAGAAGATTGTTTAATGGGTCGACGTTTCGGGTGCAATACCCTTTATCAAGATTAAATTATGATGATCCTGTGACGCCTTATTGGGAGCCACAGTGGCTAGGTGGTTAAGACGCTGGCTCGCTAGCCTGGAGGTCGGGTGTTCGATCCCTGCATTGGCCGAGAAAGTTCATCTGGATTTTTCGACGTGGTTTCCCCTTGTCAGTGGTGCAGAACGGAGGGCCTGACAAGGACAGCTGTCTGGTCCTTCGGATGAGACGAAAAACCGAGGTCCTGTGTATACATTGGAATGCACGTAAAAGATCCCTTGGCAGTTGGAATTCGATATAAGAGTAGGCGATAGTGCCGCTGCCCGGGCAAAAATTTCACTCATAGCACACTGTATGGCGTATGCCCGTCTTCATTAGCCCAGTATAGGAGCAGAACAGTAGGACGTTAAACCCCATTTCATTTCGTGACGCCTTATATACAGTAATGGTGACGTCACAGGATTTTTAAATTTATTTATGTACAGTATAAAGATTGTTAAAAATTGCTAAAATGATTAGAAAAAATTGTTTAAAATGATAAAAAAGAAGAGTTAATTACTAAGAATGTTTAAAGATTGATGATAATTATGGAGCGATTTAAAGTGAATAGTAGATAATGGTCTCCAGGATGGCTGATTTGGTGGTTGTTTCATCTTCTTCTGTATTGATGGGATAAGTTGATATGTATATCTCGGTCATCCGGAACCTCCTAGTCTTCAAACATGCAGAGGAGGAATAAAAGACTAGAATACGTAAGGAGTTTGCTACGATCGGACTGAAGGTTGCGTGGTTAGCGGAGTATAGAGTTAAAAAAAGTAATTACGTAGCTTGGTGGTTCAATTCTTTTGGATCGTGAAATCGGTGATGATGATGAGTGGTGGATCGTATTCAGGTTAAATAGAAGGGTTGTTGGTCACCTCTATGAAATATAGTTTCTGTGGTTAGAGGGCCACGGGAGAAGGATATACTAAGTAAAGATAAGGTAGTTGAGGCTTAAAGGCGAGGTTGTACGAAAAACAGTTTATCTAGAATCTAGCGTATAAAATGAATGCAGATGATCTATCCTCAAATATAACAAACAGTACATCATACACTTACCTTATAGAAGACAGAATCATTTGGGTCTGCTTCTGGATCACAAGTAAATCCATCAAAAACTGAATTAATAAAAATAAATAACATTACTATACTTAGAAAAGATATTCCACAAATAAATATAAAAACACAAATAAAACTTCTAGGAATATGGTTTGGTCACAACAATATTGAAAAAAAACTGGCTACCCATACTGGCAAAACTAAGAAAATTAGTATATAAATGGATAAAATATAAACTAAGAATAAAAGATAAATATCTAGTATTAAATACTTACATACTCAGTAAACTATGGTACACATGCCGAATTATCACACCACCAAAACACATTATAAAATCTATAAATAAAGAAATATTTAGATTTATCTACCAAGACACACCAGAAACTATCAAAAGACACTACACCAACCATTCAATATGAGTGGTCTAAATGTCCCTAACATTGAAAATAAAATAAGGGCAATGGCACTCCAAAGAATTATAATTATGAAAAACAACATAAACCCATGGACTAAGCTCTTTGCGTATTGGTTTGGGTATACACTTAAAGGAATACTGCCTTGGTTAGCATTCAACAAACTATCACATACAGTAAATACATCACAAATTTATAAAAGCATAAAAACTACTTTCCTTCAATTTCGTGATAAAATAAATCTTACTGGCACACCAAAATTAAAACATCTACAATGAAATAAACAAATTAGACTTTACTAAACCAAGTATTATGTACAAATATCCAACACTAGACTTCTTTAAAATATGGAAACAACTTGCTAGTATGCCCTATACCCTTTTCGACTATGACCTCGTAATTCTCATTTAACACACCAAGCACTGCCTATACAAAACAAAAATTATACGAGCGAAATCTATATAGTAACAATAGATGCAGCCTATGCATGAAACATATCTTCCTACAATGTGAGGCAATAAAAGTAAACAAAACGTCCAAACCTACCTAAAAAAAGTTCTCCATAAATAATAATTTTGAATTTAACAAATACACATTATTGTTCCATGATATAGCATCACCAATTTTAACTTGTGGAATACTGTATTATCTGAAAATAGTATGGGAATGTAAAATAAAACCAAAGAATATCATAAACAACAAAATAAACATAGAATTGACACAGCAATTTCTAAAAGACCTAAATGAGACTATTGCTATGTACAAACACAGATATTAACCTCCTATGGTAACACTGACCGCGATCGAAGTCAAGTCATAATCTAGACTACTATAATAATAAATAGGACATAAGGCATCCCAAATGAAAGAATCAATTAGCCATAATTCATCTGATGAACAAAACAATATACTAACATATGTTATTTGAATAATAGAGAGCGTATACAATAAAGAAATTAATATACTATTCAAAAAAAGTAGGGGATATTTGATTTTGGGGGCATAATACTAAAATATGCAAATGACTACGAAAAAAGTCACTATAAAACCTAACAGAAGAAACATTTCCAGTTACATGTGACGCCCAAACGCACCAATAGCTACCGCATGGAATGCAGGTGATGCTTGGGATCATCATGGGGGTCCAACCCAAGATTTGCACGACTCTGACTTTGAATGTTACAGTCATTGTGGCATTGAATTCCAGGGTGGAAACATCAGTTTAATTGTTTTAGTGACCAGAAAACAAATTTTGATATGCGTCGGCTTACCCAAAATGAAAGGTTACGTGCCCTTGGCATGCTACAGATCGGCACAACACAGGCGGTTGTGGCGCGGACGATGAATGTTTCTCAGTCTGTCATAAGCAGGCTATGGTCCAGATACCGTGATACACAATCTGTACAGGACAGACCACGCTCAGGTCGACCAAGGGCGACAACTCAAGCCCAGGATCGATTTATCCGTACCTTGGCCTTGAGAAATCGTGTCATCACAGCAAATCAGATCAGCGCTCGTCTTCAAACAGACACTGGTGTGAGAGTGAGTGGCCAGACGATTCGGAATCGACTGCATAGGGGTCACCTTCGCGCCCGACGTCCTCGCGTGATCCCTTGTTTGAGAGATCATCACATTCAGGCAAGACGTCGTTGGTGTAGGGATCGTCAACACTGGGATAATCGACGCTGGAGCAATGTGATGTTTTCAGATGAGTCAAGGTTCACTGTTGATTTTTTGGACAGACGTAGGAGGGTGTGGCGTCGTCGAAACGAGCGCTTCCAAGACGTTAACGTCATCAGACATGATCGATTTGGGGGTGGTTCTGTTATGGTGTGGGGAGGCATCACTGTTGCTGGAAGAACGGCTTTACATGTTGTTGCAGGGCGTGTTACAGGCCAGTACTACCGGGACAACATCTTGGCAGTCCATGTTGTGCCGTTCGCACGACGTCATGGCCGCCGTTTCATCTTCCAGGATGACAACGCAAGATGTCACAGGGCCAGGATCGTTACAGGTTACCTCCAACAACAGAACATCACCACATTACCTTGGCCAGCACTGAGTCCCGACCTCTCCCCCATCGAGCATGTCTGGGACATGCTTGGACAGAGATTACGTCAACGTCAACAACGTCCTGCCAATGTCCAAGACCTTGCTGCTGCGTTGCAACAGGAATGGGACAATCTGGACCAAAATGACCTTAGACGTCTCATTAGGAGTTTGCCACGTCGGATCAATGCTTGTTTGGCAAACAGAGGAGGATTTACCCGTTACTGACTTGGTTGTGATGCTGTGGTAACTTTGCTGTTTGACCCCGGGTATCATTTTACCCTTATAATGGTCAGTCTGTGCCTTACTTAGTCTAACGATCATTTGGAATAAATCGATGAATGTGAACTTCATTTCATTTTGTCATTTGTTTCTTCGTCAGTTTCATTAGGTGACTTTAATAACACTTAAAAATCAAATATCCCCTACTTTTTTTGAATAGTATATATAGATAACATAATAAGAAATACCGTTATTAGTCGGGTAAAGATAAGCCATATGGAGTGGATACCTAGAACAAATTGCAACATAATTTTTCTCGATGGAATCTGGTAGGATGTCCCTGAAGGTCTCCCAAACCAAAATCGCCCAAAATAAAAAGATAGGTTTTCGAGTAATTAGCATAAATCCAATATGGCCGCCATTGGCACCTTAAAACTCCAATATCTCGGGAATGGTTGAGTTTGGAGGGTGTAAATGTATTACGGGGAGATAGGAAAGTGGTACAGATGATTCAGAAAAACATAGCTAAAATACGTTCCTGTGACGTCATAACGTCATACGGCCAGTAATTTGCATAAATCCAATATGGCCGCAATTGAAACTCCAATATCTCGGGATTGCTTAAGTTTGGAGGATGTAAATGTATTACGAGTAGATAGGAAATTTCTACCAAAGAACTCGAAAAACAATGCCAGACGACTTCCTTGTGACGTCATAAGGCCAACAATTAGCATAAATCCAATATGGCCGCCATTGGCACCTTAAAACTCCAATATCTCGGGAATGGATGAGTTTGGGTGGTATTAATGTATTACGGGTAGATAGGAAAGTGCTACCAAGGAATGGGAAAACATTGCCATATTACGTCACAGGGACGTCGTAACGTCATACGTCCAATAATTATTATAAATCCAATATGGCCGCCATTGGAACCATAAACATCCAGTTTCTCGCGGATGGCTGAGTTTAGAGGGTGAAAATGTATTACTTGTATCATCTTGTCAATCAATTCATATATTTCTTGAATATTACAATTCATCAGATTGTAAAGGTTTTAACAGGAATATTGTACTTGGTTTCTGATAGACTTGGATTTCAATTATGGACTGTACAATTCTTCTGCTAATAATTCTTCTTTATTCCAGGGACTGTAGTATTATGCATGCAATTGGTTCAGGTTCATGCGAATCGTTGACTATGAATTCCAATCTTTAAGTTGGCGTCAGGTGAATAAGTTAACAAACTTGTCGGGTCTAGTTCTGGAGCGTCTGTCCATGTGTCTCTAGACGGTCGGTCAATGTAATACTTTGGTCTTTTAACTAATTATTGGATATTACATTCTATAGAGTCAAATCCCACGTACTAATGAAGATGAATGATATTTTTATATACATTATAAAATAAATCAGTGATATTTTGGTAAACTCCTTACCATTGTCAAAATATCCTATCTGTTTATGACATGTAGTTGATAGAGCAAATAAGGTAATGTGCTCCCCTTGGTTTGGGGTAAATGGGGGTGCTTATTCCATATTTGGGAAGGAAATGAACGCCTAGGTCAGTCTATAGCGTGCAGAAATTAGGGGGTTATAAAAGAGGGTGTTGAGTGAAATTGAGCAGAACTCACCCTGATATTCCTAGCAGCTATCATCAATGCTTTATTAATATGGCATCATACGACAGTCCATTCCTCGGGCTACTCAACGAAAGCTTAATTCGTTTAATCCATTTATATTGGACGGAGAAATCGAGTTTTTCCCCCAAAACACCTATTTTTTGCGGGTTTTTTTTCGAAATATCTATCATTATTTCGACTACTTCCGGTTTCCGGATCGTTGTTGAAATTGCTTTACCAAGCGGTCTGACTATATAGCTTTATGTTCCAGTAGTTTCAGAAACATCAATTGAGGCTTTCAAAAAAAATATAAGGGTTATAAAATGGGCAGAAAATTCGAAAACTAAAGGGCGATAATTCTGAATGAAACTTATATTATTGGAATCGGATAGACTTCCGGTATCCCAAAATGTAGGTCAAATTTGAAAATTTTGCAGAATAACAAAAATTGTTTCGTAAACAACGTATTTTCAAAATTCGAACGACAAAAGCCATAGATGAATGTTCGAAATTGAAAAATGTGAGATAGCCATTATCTCGGAAAAGATTCGGGGTTTCCGAAAATGTCATTTGTTTGAAAATAGGTAAAGAATTGACGAAACCACGGCCGATTTTCAATTCCGGAAAAAAGTACAAAATTCGGTTACTTCCGGTATGCGCAGAAGTTTCAAAATTGTTTTATCAAGTAGCCATAACATGGTTTCCCGGTAGAAAATTTAAAAACAATAGTCTTTCAGACGAAAGTCAGACGAAAGTCTGAAAGCCTAATAATAATTTTAGTAATCTCAATCTGAAAGCCTAATAATGTACATTTATAATTGCGCTCACTCCATCTATATTGCATGCTCTAAGCACAATGTTCTGAAGTCTCAACCAATTAAATTGTTTATCTCTGCTTAGAATTAGTATAAAATCTGTATGACTGGACATTGTCGGGGGGGGGGGGGAGTGGGACTGGGCTCTAGCTAGCCGATGACCTCTGGCTGGAAGCGCGCCTTAAACATCAATAACACCACTGTCAAGGCATTGACCTGATACC